ACTTTCACTCGCTCGGCCGAGATGCGCGCGCGCACGTCGCGGCAATGACCATGCGTCGCCGCCTCATGTCAAGTGCAACTGTCGCAGTTTCACTATGATGTTACGCTGATTGATGTTTTGACCAAAGCAAAGACATTTGCCATTCTAAATGAATGCTCGTATTTTACAGATGTCTGGTATATTACTAGAGGGTCTTTAGGTGTGTTTTAGTAGGCTTTTTCTTTACTTCACCTTGTTTAAATTATTTGGTAATTCCAGTATGTCTTAATTTACCTATTGCGAAGTATTGTCTTTATCGTTCTGTAAAAACCAAGTTTTCAATAAAAATTGTAAATCGTTCAAGGATCGCGGGGGAGTTGCGTAAGTAGTTATGACGTTTTCTTCGCAATATCTGACTCATAGTCATATTTGACTTACATAAACTTTAGGATTCATTTATGACAAAGTTTACCAACGCAGAATTTTCCATTTCTCAGTCTTTTAAATGAAATATAACTTGTTCTTAGTCTTATCGAAGTAGATTTGGAAGCAACACATTTTTACGAAACGAAAATTGTACTCATCACTACATTTACTTAGGAACTAGCTTTTCCCGCGACTTTGTCTGGGAGAAATTTTAATTAAATTCTGTTGCGATTCAAATGAAAACAAAAATAGTTAAAACTAAAACTTCAGGCTAAATATAAACTGCTCCTTGATAACATTTTTGAGGTTATTTTCATAGTCGTTATATTATTGCTTATATTCGATTCGATTTGTACTACTAGTAATTTTACTATAAACAACAGAATAGTGTGCGGGTGTCAGCTGATATCGCGCTTTCTCCGGCGCTGGGCAATGGCCGACGTTGGCCATTCCGTGCGCGCCGCCTGCCGTGTCTCGCTGATTTATATTTAAGGACCGTTGCCTGCGAAATTTATTGTGACCGTATACTGGGCCAGTTAAATTTGGCAGCAACAGTAGCGGCATACGAAGTACTCGTGTTACACTTCTGTTAATTTTATCCTTATAAATTAAAGATATTTAAGTTAAAACTTCTTAAATACACAGTCTACGTTAAAATTACAAAGAGGAAAAAAATTAGTGTGTTTGTTATAACTTGTAAACTATTGAACCGATTTAAACAATTCTTTTACTTATAGAATGTTAAATTATCACTGAAATCTATAAACTACATTAGATGCCATTAACAGTCAAGTTTGTTTTAAAACAACAAAGAAATAACTACAATTCCGATTAATTTACTACCAAATAGTGTCATATTTAAAGATAGCATATAAACTTGATATTGAACTAGAATTGTTGTCAATGTAGATGTGACGGGCGCGTCGCGTCAGCGAGAGAAAGCCGCCGCGACGGAGCCTGACTCTTGTGTACGGTGTTCGCGGAATCTGCACATTTACTCACTGATTTACTATCTCACTTATATAGAGTATTCTGACAAGTTGTTTAAATAAAACTTATCAGTTTTTAAAAATAACATTAGGGTCATAATAATGTACGATTAATACTGGAATTAATTTTCAATTCAAAAATAATTTTTTTTAAGCATCATTAGAAATATTTTTGTAAAATTATTTGGCGTCCCTATTACGAGTACAATTTACACCCGTTGAAGTCTAATACAAGACGAAGACTTAAGATTTGTCTTGCAAACTGCAAGAATTATTGTAGTATCTATTTAAAAATTAGTTAGTTATTTCTGGTTCCTAACTATTTAACTTTTTAAACATTAAATTAAGTAATTTTTTAGTTACATTAAACATAATTCGGGTATGAAAGTAATAATTACATATCTTGGTAGGTACGCGAGGTTCCCACAGGAACACATGTTCCTTTTTTGTTCCATGTCTACCTGATGTCCCGAATTCGAATTCAAATATTGACTGATTGAAGGGTTGCCGGGACATCTGTCGCAGCCTTTTATACTACGGAGAAAGCCTCACGCGATGGGAAAGTCTCCCAAAGGCAGGACTTTTGAGGACCATGTGTGGTATTGTCTGCATACACATGTGTTGTTGACGAAATTTGAGAAAGACCTCAATTATTAATATTTAAAACATGTAAAGTAACTTAAAGATATAATAATTAGTCAATGTGAAGTTATACTTTTACAGCAAGTATAGGAATAAACGAATTAAAAATCACAGTTTAACTTACTAGTAGACTAGTTTCAGGCCCGTCTGGGGTTTTCAGGTTGAGTGGATTTTGTTCGCCGTGGATTTTCTGACAAAAGTTTTACTTAATAAGTTAAATTGTTTAAAGTTTCTTAGGCAACAAAAAGGACGTTATTTTCACTCTTTATAATCTAGATTTTAGTATGACTTTAAAGATTAGGTGACGAATGTGTATGACGGTGACTCTGCTCCTATTCCAACGAAAGGAATGCTGAATCTCTTCTTATACAATCCAAAGTCAACACACGCTTTATAAATCGACTCATAAATCTCTCATGGCGTAAAAAGTCAAGATATTTTTTTCTAAAATAATGTTAACTTTATCCGAATCCAATGAAATCCATTAACCCACTAAGGGAAGCAAAGTATCCAATAACTCCACGTGTTATCATATCCGTTTATAAGAACAATATCCGGTCCTTTCCGGAATTAAGGGATGTAAATAAAGGATTGTTTACCTTTAACATTGTTAGAGAAAAAAAATAATGAGAGTCTAAACAGGCTGCTGTATTTTTTTGTCGTCGACTAGCGCCCTTATCATTTTTTATGAGATCGTATGACCCACTTAATTTAACCTATATTTTTCTTCTATACGATGGTTTTAAGGGTACGTGACAACTGTTTTTAGAACTTTTATAAATCAAATTTTGAAGTACTAAAATAAAATAAAATGTAATCAGAGTGAGATGTCGTTTTTCGACGTGATCTTTGTTTAAAACTATATTGTTTACTTACGATATTTGCTTAAATTGCATTTTTAGTAGTGGGTGGCGTTGTACTTTTCTCTGACATTTAGAAAAAACTGTTTTTAGAAAATATTTCTTTTAAATTTAAAAACGTAATAAGGAATAAATGCTTGAAGTAATAAAAAAGCGACTTTCAAAATTATTCTATTTATACACTAAGCCGGATTAACTATGTATAAAATCATCGGTGTTAATCTTTCCTCTAAAGGCTTAACGGGTGGGGGAAAAGGGACAGCGCTATGGGGTAGAAGGAGACAGGATAGGGCAACGTCCTGGTTTGTCAATAAACTTGACCCACATTTCATTGAGAGCGAGCCGGGAATCTTAGATAAGGCTGCGTACACACTAGACACATTTGATTAGCGAAGTATTTATTACAATAAATTGGAAAGAACCTAATACATTGTTAAAATTTAAACATTTTGAAATACTTAACTTTGTAAATGCAACTAAATTGTTTTGGATTAAATAATTTGAGTGACCTTTTTGTTACGAACATTAAGACGCTTAAGAGCAAAT